AGTGCTGAGGCTGGGCACACGCTGGGGCTGGGGGATACCACAGCGTAGGGAAGTTTTAACACGGTTCTTTCCGAAACCTCTTGTGCTGATTTCCCCTGCCTGGGATTAACAGAGACAGCAGGTTCGTCTTACAATCACAGACACACAGCCACAGACAGACAGACGGACACAACCACAGTCTTAACCCAGGAAAGCCCCAAGTCTTCCACTCGACTGAGCGTAGCGCCCTGCCTCTCGCTGCTCTCAGGGCAGCTCCCGGGTGGGCGGGCAGGCGGGCGGGCTACTTTTTTTATAAAAACCCCCACTCGCCCCAGGTGGGGCCTGAGAGCCTTCTAACGCACTCCCCCAACCAATACACCACCACCAGCCGCTCCATTTTCACCCACCGCTTTGAAATCCTAGCCACAGAGATGCCACGGCAGGGCTGACCTCACTGCGAAGTCTCCAGGAGCCCTGCCCGGTGCCCGGGAGGAGCCCAGCCACTTCCTCGCCAGCGCCGGCGGAGGGGTGCTAGGTGGCCACGTGGGTGGGAGAAGAGATGGACACGAACTCGCGGAGGATGTTCTTGGCCATGTCGATGTTGTTGTGAGCGATGAGCAGGGCTTTCTGGATGTCCTGGTGGGAGTAGCCCTGGCTCAAGAGGCTCTCGATTTCGCTGGAGAGCTGCGGCGAGGTGGCCGCGGTGGCACCTGGATGGCCCGGCCCTGCCTTCCGCTCAGAGTTGATTCGCCGAGGGAATGGCTTGGGGGGTCTCTCGGGAACTGGGGCACCCTCCGTGAAGTCTAGCAGAAATAAGAAAGAAAATGTCTGCAAACCGGGGGAACCTCAACTATTGGCAGGAGTAACACCAACGTGCTGCGGTCGGCGTCGCTGGCCTCCCTCAGGGGGACACAGGCTCTTCAGTCCAAGGCTGGTCTACAGGCCCCCGCGACTCCTCCCAGCGAGAGCCCCTGCCAACAGCCCACACCTGCCCTCCTGGCTCTCGCCACTGCTGCCCAGCACCTCATGGCGTGGCGTCACGCAGCACCCTAGGCAACACACACCACACGCCGGGACTCGTTTGTAAGTGTTTCTGAGGGGCCGGAGAAGACGCTACAATTCCCCTTTTGCAAATAACAAAGCGGAAAGGGGCACAATTCGCAGTGAAGCATAAACAAGAGGGCGGCTGGGCCACCACCTGCTTCGGGACTGGAGGCTGCACATCGCTGCCACCCGCTGTCCCCGTGACAGCTCTGGCCGCTGCGCCCCAGCAGCCACAGGTGCAGGAAGACAGCCCTGACAGTCAGGCCCAACTGCGGGCTGGCCCCTGGCCAAGCACCCCTTTTCCCAGGGAAGGGGGCCGCGTCCGGAATGCATGGTCTGAACCTTCGAGCTCGATGGTCATGTCCTCACATCCTCATAAACGTCAGGAGCCCTGGAGGAGCCTGAGTAAGGAAAACCTCCTTCCTACATCGCGCCCAATCCCGGGGGCTGACTGCAGTAAACTTCCTTAATGAGGCCAAGGA